AGTGCATGCATTTTAGTTACTTGGTATACTGAGATGTAGTCTTATATGATCCGATTCTTCCTTTCATCTCAAGTATGTGTTAGATGTTTGACACATTGATGTGGGTAGGGACTAGGGAGTCTATGGAAATTGTAATTTAATATTGGACCAAAAAATATATTAATTCAAATTTTAGCAATACAGTCGATTATTTAATTTCTTACAATAGTTTTATGATTTCAGTAATTGATAATATTTCTATATGCTGTTTTTCAGGTCTAATATAGATTGAAGTAGGTTTGTTGATCTCATAATGGGTTCTGGAGATTGGTTCAAGACAAAGATTTTTAGAAAGAAGGTGAAGCTTGACAAAGCAAAACAATCTAAGGTAAGCATGTCATTCTTGTCTTACAACTTTTTAAACATGGAAAGATACTTATTTGCATGAGTTATGACTACTTGACTAGATGGCATTGTCAAAATAATTTTTCCTAGAGTTGTATTAGTGTGACACTTTCCTTTTCTACACATGCAATACACATTTGTGGAATAATCTCTAAACTAGCATCTTGTTGCTCAATCGCTTTAATGTACAAATGAGATAATAATCGCTTTTATGTACAAATGAGGTAACAAACATATGTGTGAAGTTCATTACTTTCTTTGTTTTTCTTTTACTGTTGTTTTCAATCATCAGCTGCGAGGGTTTAACCTCCTTATGCAGTTGATATTACATAGATTCATTTTTTACTTAATATTTCAGAGCAAGTATGCTGTTATACAAAATATATTGACTTTAGCCTGAAATTTCCTACCAAAAAATTAGAAATGTGTCAAAATCCTGAATCGATTGATAGGGGTTTACTCACATTGCTCTGAGCTTACTGATGTTGGGTTTGGTTGATATGTTAATTAACATATTATACCTGTCTTGTTATTAGAACTCATCATTCTTTACATGATTAATCATCTTGCTGTTGTCTGACAGGGATCTTCAGCTTCCGACAAGCCAAAAAACAGTGCTAATGGTGGTCGGGTCAGCAGTAAAACTAATGGCACTCTTGTGAAACTCAGTGAAAATGATGCAGCCACGAAGATACAAACTGCTTTCAGGGCCTATATGGTATGTTTTCTAACTGAGCTAGAAAACATCTATCTTTCATAAGGGGTAACGAACAAGGGTCGTATCATAACATAATTCTGAATGCTTTACTGTCTTCTACTGCAGGCAAGGAAGGCATTACGGCGTATGAAAGGGGTAATACGATTTCAGAAATTAACACAGTTCCAGTCTGTTAAGAAGCAATCGACAAATACGTTGAATAATCTTCATTTATGGAGTATGGTACAAACTCAAATTAGAGATCGTCGCCAGTGTATGGTAATCGAAGGCCGTATCAAACAAAAAAAGCTAGAGAATCAATTGAAGCTTGAGGCAAAGTTACATGACTTGGAGGTGTGTTTTCAATTCCTTATACTCAGTATAAAGTCATGGGTAATGCTTGTCTTCCTAGTTCTGTTTAAGTAGCTTCTTGTGCATTATTATGTAATCAACACTAGTAAAATAATTTAAAGGTGTCAAATGTGGATAGCATGCAAAGACAATGTGGGATTGTGATATAAAAGTAGGAACAGAAGCAAATAATGGGACATGAGTAAATCTTTTAATTTAGACACAACTTTAAGCTCACAAAATGTTGAATGAAATTGTCTCTTTACTAGGTGGAATGGAACGGTGGTGCTGAGACCATGGAGGAGATTCTAGCTAGGATTCATTATAGAGAAGAAGCAGCTGTGAAACGGGAGCGCACCTTGGCTTATGCATTCTCTCATCAAGTATGTATGCTAACCCAATGTAGCATCATGACAACATCTTTACATATACCTTTATCCCCGGGCTTTCCTTTTCTTTTAGGGGAGAAGGGCTTATTATTACTTTTTGTGTATATTACAGTGGAGGGCAAACTCTAGTCAAAATCAAGGTCCTGATGCTTCTGAACTAGGGAAAGCTGATTGGGGTTGGAGCTGGAAGGAACGGTGGATTGCTGCTCGTCCATGGGAAAGTAGATTGCCATCTCAGTCCATCAGCCCTAAGAAGGGGCAAAATAAGCTTACAAGCAAGGCTCGGAAAAGCAGTAACTCTACTACAACTACAACTACAAAAAAATCATTTCCTACTATATCTGCAGTACCTAATGGTAAGGCAACAACTGGAAATGGTTGAAGGGTGTCTTTCCCAGGAGCAGAAAAAACAACCAAGAAAGAATCAAACCCCAAAGTGCCAGAAAAAAAGCGTGAATCATTGTCTTAGATGTAAAAATATACAGATCATCAAGCGTTTGTGTAAATTTTCTATGGTTTTCATTCGAAAACGGCCTATTTTTACTCTTTCCAATCTATATTTAATGTTACATATGGGGGTGGTGTGAAAAATATGTTTTGCCTACTGATGTTGAATACGTCGTCTGTATTCCTTTTTCTCTTCGTACAGCGTTGTTTCTATTTGTAAATTTGAAGAGAATCATACTATTTATAATGTAAATAGACAATATTTTTTTGGAGAGATTACTCAGGATGTAATGGAAGGACGTTTCTGAGATACTTGCTTCAGTCATGTACACTGGCCACTGGGAAACCGATGCTCTGAATGTATTGTTTGATGCATTTAGGTTGCTTGTCTTGAGTTTTTCTCGCCTTTTCTTTTACTCAGATTCACTTGATCAGTGGCAATTAATAAGTTAGAATTATCACGGTTTGGCATAAATATACAATAATAAAAAGACTAAAGAACATGTTTAAGTGAAGCTGAATTTGTACAGTTGCTGTAGAAGATGGTCAGTCAACTTGTACAGCCCATTGTTTCCCTAGCAATGTTACTAGTTCATGTTCATACCCTCGTGAACTACGATCCAAAAGTGTGTACATTTCAGACTAGTTTAACAAAATTAGGGAGCAAATTGCTGTTTAAACAAGCGAAGTTAAAAAGTCCAATTTTAGCAAAGTTATAGCATCAAAAATTTATGTTAGATTCTCTTATAGTCCTACGTAATTTATCTTTCAAGCTATTGAATTTCCATGATATTAATCAGATTATTGTAATGTAATAATCGTGTCGTTACAACTAGCAAGGGCTTAATGCTGAGGTTTAATGTTTGATTGGCAATTATTGGCATGAAAGCACGTTTGATGATTTTTTTGAATAAGTGGTGCAATTGATTTATGTCGTTGTCTTTTCGTATACAAAGATATTAATTGAGCGTAAATATTTGACTTGAAAAATACAATGGGACCCTTGATACACCAAATTTATGGAATCCAATTTGATAAAATGTCTCAGACAAGTATGTTTTGGAAATACCTTTGATATCATTATCTCTGTATTATGATTTTCATGGTGTTATACAATCTGAGGAAATTCAAGTTACTCAATTCATGATTTGTTACTCAAAGGGCACTCTGGTTATTTGCACTGGCATTAGTAAGGGCATAATTGTCTGTAATGGGTTATTGGTGGAAACGGATGGTAAAAGGGCGTTAGCAGCGTTAACGATAGGATTTCAAGCGTTAACGATAGGTTTTTGAGATCGTTAGGGTTTGATTCCGTAGGTTAGAGGAAGCGATTTGAGTTTTTCAGGCGATTTGAGTGGCGATTTCGGTGAAACACGGCTGTGTATCATCATTGGTTATCTTGTGAATTGATAAGAATTACGAATTCCTGCAGTAAGGGTAAGGGATGTTTGGTGATGAGTAATTGAATAATTAATATTGCGCATCATGTACCTGTACCTACATTAGCATTGTCAATGCTTTGCTCAATTTCTGGTTTTGTTGTTGTGTAATATTAAGGCAAATATTTACGAACATGCCATTTGAGTTACAAGTTTTGTTACTCATGATGAGTAACCTGGGCTCACAGCTCACTACAATGAATCTGGTAATCCGAATCAATCGCTAAAAGTTCTTATTTTGACTATTTGTAAGAAAATTACTGGTCAAATAGGAAAAACTTTTAGAAATGGAGAACATGCATTAGTTGTTGCTTAATTTAATCCCCGCATAATGTGATATTATCCCCATAGTGGATCTATTAACAATAGGTGAATACATGAGCTTTTACTTGAGTTCTTTCTTTGACATTAATATGTGAAATTGAACAACATCTAATACACTCGTTTAGTATAGCAATTGGGCATCAATCATCTAAATTTCAATTTCTGATCAGGTCAAAAACATTGTTACATCTCCAAGTTTTTTAAAGAGCCACAAGAGCCGCTGATAAGAGTTAATCATATTATCTCCTAGAACCGGGAAGGAAGCTCTAACTACCTGAGCTATTGCTCACTCTCATCTACAAGCAATATTTTAGTGGCTTCTTATTCATATCTTAACTAAAATTTACAATGTGACAACTAAATCTGGACTAAAATAATAGGTAGTTTTTATTCATGTAAAGTGCAATACGGCCATAACCCATGTTATAAATAACATGGCCAAGGTTAATTTCATCCAAAAGCTTCTAATTTCAATTATGTTCAAGTTTAGTACAAGTCATTGTTGTTAAGTAATCTAATAAAGGAGATCCATTTTCATGAAGTTAAAGATTAATTAGTTTGCAAGGAATTGGTTTTAAAATTTGATGCGTATACATATGTTCATGTTAGGTGTGCGATACCAATAGTCAATGATATGGATCTCCTTCCATTATAGCAACAAATGTATAGGGCAATAGAAAAGACCAAGGAGAAATTCTCCAATGTGTCAATCAAAATTGTGTTCGTAGCCCAATTGTCGATCCAGAAGTCATAAAACCACATAAAAATTGTCCAATTTTGGCATGAGTTATTTTAGATTGCCTTTAAGTTTGGCTCATATATTTTTCGATTTGGTTTCGCACTTGCTAATTCTTTATCTATCTCCTCGTGTGCACAACTTTGTCCAAGCCTTAATAAAGTAAAAGTTAAGAATGTGGTGATATTTAATAAACAAAGGCAATACATGTGAATGAGTTTGATTTGGCAAAAGTTCTCTTAAACTTTGACAAACAAAAATAATCACAAAATGCAATTCATAAGAAGTAAAAGGAAAAAAATTACAAAAGTTGTACCCCGATTTTTATATTTTACTTCTCGCCAAAATAATGATCACTTTTAAGCTTAGAAAGTTCAATTTTGTATCTTCCATATTATCTTAAATGACCTTGAAAAAAAAAAATCTAAGTAATGACATAATTTGTATAGTGTTGAGGAGATGTTAAAATTCCAATAGTGAAAGGCACCTTACATAGTTATGATGCTTAAGATAAATTTCGATGCTAAATCGAATGTGGCCTAAACATTATTTAGGAAGTGATGAAGTACTAGCAATATCAGGTCTATTCCAGAAACTAGGCTTCATCTCTACAAAGGCAGGTGATTGCTGGTACACCATTGATGCAGTCTCTATCAAGATGCCAGCAGTCAAAGCAAAGATAACGTACCTTCTGCCCTCGGCTTCATAATCAAAGTAATGGAGGAGATACTTTGAACCCATCCATTCCCTCTCCACTTCTCTTCGGTTTTCATCCTGTTTGTAGGAGAGAACATAGTTATCACACCACACCCCTTAAGTATTATTGATTATGTAACAAGACAGCAGCCCTGAAGAATGGGATTGAACCTTGAGAAACATTTCTAAGGGAGCATCAAATATTGATTCAACTTCAGTAATATTTGAGATGGGATGAAATGCAGTTTTGTCGAAAAGCAGGCCAAGCACTGGCACTACTACCATGCCATTCTGTTCATAACAAGAAGGTTATCTGGTGTTAAACAGGGCTGATAACATGTAATTTATTTCAGGGTGGCAAGTGTGTGTCACACATCACACGCCAAAGCAGCTGAACACATGGACTGTGCGAATGCCACACTTTCCATTGTGTATCAGGCTATCAGCTAGCTTTTTACAGCATAATACCCCCATTATAAAAGATAGATCATTTACACAAACAAATTGATGTCCATGTAATAAACTATAGCATAACTGGGATCATGTTAAAAATGGAGGATACCTTCATAGAGAAAGGTTCAAGAACGGAAACGACTTCAACAAGTGAAGGGTCTAAACCAATCTCCTCATTTGCCTCCCTCAATGCGGTTGCAACTTCATCTTCATCACCTTCTTCCACCTTTCCACCAGGAAGTGCCACTTCACCTGTACTAAAAATATTCATGAGCAAAACATACGCCTGCCTTTTTCGGTACAACACAGAATAATAAGCACATAAAAGTATTGAAGTTGCTTCACTCAGTTGAGATCGTTTTCTACAGAACTGGTAAAAAGTTGTAATTATTTCAAAAATAAAAGAATCACTCTAAAAAATAAAGTGGTGTTTGAAAACTTATAGTGTGATCTATTGTGGGAAGTTTAAAAGATTAGAGGAGCGACTAACCGGAGTGAGACGAGAGAGTGGAGGAACGCTGAGTGAGAATGACTCGCAGATCACCACTGTCTCCTTCAAAGATGCAGATCAGAACTGCTGCTCTTCTATCAGTCAGCGGTCTTGGTGGCCGGTCATAACTTACAACGTTGGCAGCATCAATACCATTTCCAGACAAATAAGGCTGACACAGGCGGAGCCGTTGAGCCAAGTCTGATAATGTCTTCGGTCCACTGGCTTCAATTTTAGCATTCATTATCAGATCACTTGTAAAACTAGCAGGGCGGATTTGGCAACTCACCAACTTTAGTCTCCACCAACCAATTTTCTTTATTATGTACGGTTGGTGGTGAATACACAACATGAGAATCTAGGCCACATTAAAATCTGTTGCTCATCATTAAAAATTAAAATGCTGTCCAATAAAAATACAAATATATACTCTTAGCTATTTACTGTCCCATTATTCTTCCACATTCTCGAGATGTTCTTTTCTAATTTTCTTCATGAAATTAGAAAATAATCTATGCCAAGTAAAGGACATACCAATAATAAGAGGGCAAACATCAACAATATAAAACCATCACAAAAATTTATAGAAAAATTGTTTATTTCTTTCAGAAAATTCAGGAACAGTCAATTTGAGCCTGTGGAAACATGCATTTTCGGTATATAAAGAGAATTCTTAAAGCCGCCCCTGGTAAACAATCTTTGGTATATAGGATTTCTGACTCTTGCGTAATCAAAATACTTGACCAGAAACATTTCTACCATCCATTAGGTCTCAATATCCTTTCAGTTATCATTCTGAATTTTCATAATCGCCCAAAATTGATGTTGCTCTTAGAATGCTTGTGAAAAGAAAGCAATCAACACTATTCAACAAATCAATGCCTCTAACAATCCATAAGCCAAAACTAATAATGTCTGGAAATCACCGCTTAGTAGCCATTTGCAGGGATGGGGATCTTTCACGATATAGTGTGCGAGATCAACTTGTCCACCATGTTGAGTCCCCAAGTCGCTAGCCACCTTTTTCTACAACGGCCACAATACTTCTACTACATATATATGACAAAAGCAGCCAGGATCCAAATACTTAGTATGAGACTACTATTTGCTTCCAAATCTTCCTGGGCTTTATCCTGAATCTAATAGTATCAATTGTTTTAGAGCTAATTTTCATCCCACTTTCACATACTTTATTCTGGAACTAGAAGCAATATGTACATTGATAAAAATATGCGAAATGTAGATTTAGCAAAAATCATGAACTCAACAGGGGAAATAGTTCTCTGTTTGGTAAAAGATTGAAGCTTTCAGAGATGAAAGTGAGGGAAGTTCCAGTGGAGGCACAACTTACTGTAAATTATTCAATGATATATAAAGGTGACCAGGAAAATAATCAACTTGAAAAACCATCCATATCCCTTACAACACCAAAATACTCCGTACAATTTAACTTCTATTTCATTTTTCGTAATCTTTGATTCGTCAGTCATGTTAGACTATTACTCACCTTAGAAGTGAATTAAAATCAAGACACTGCTAGATTAGTTCAAGATACTGAAGTCTGATAGATTCAGAGATTGAATTCGTACTGACCTGAAAAAATTTCTTGAATGCACAAGTGTCATAAACGTGCTGACCCCTAAAATCTCGAAAATCCTGACAGAATAGTCAGCCAGGTTGGGCACCATTTTCTAGAAGTATATTTTACCAATTGCATTACTAACAGAAAAAATGACACATCCAAAACAGACCTACTAGGATTATATATTATTGCTTTCAGCATTCAGCTATTATTAAATACCTCTACATACATATTGCACACTCCTGTGTTCTACTTTGGATAGAACTAAGAGATGTAGATGTAGCTGAAATTTATTTTCAATCAATTCAACGCATAACAGTGTCTTTATCAGCAGAGCTAGGAACCTTAAATTTGGGGTTTTGCTCCAGAAAAGGTGGTGGTCTTTGATAAACAACTGATGCTACTCGAATCAAAATTGCAGCGGTAAGGCCCCATATCACATACTTTTTGTTGTCTGTTTCATGATCAAAAAAATGAATCAAATATTTGTATCCCATCCATTCTCTTTCCTCTGCTCTGCGATTATCATCCTGAATCAAGATTCCAACGAGTTTATGTCAAAAGAAAGAAAGCACGCAAAAATATTGTATGTTGAAGGAAAACCTGAAACTAAAGAGCAGAACCTTGATGAACATTTCCAAGGGAGCATCAAATACTGTTTCTACCTCAGCAGCATTTGGATCTGCCTTGAATGCATCTTTATTGGACAGTATCCCTATAACTGGTACCACCTTCAAGAGATGCTGCAGACATAAACATGAAGGTAATGTCGCAAAGGTCAGAGATTGCTTCAAATCTTAAGCTGGTTCAGAAATCATGCCGTCTTCCTCAGCTCTATGTCAACACTTGAAGTTTCGTTTATAGTTGATGATTTCTTAGTATCTAATTCTTTCCAACTAATTATTAGTATCATCTGGGATTCTTTCCAACCTAAAAAGCTAAGGGCATATCATGCATGAGAACTACAAACAATGAAAAACTGGATACTGCCAGGCTACCGGTATTGGGTAAAAATAAATAATATTTTGTAATTGTGATTAATTGCAAGAAACTGCCTGACATGTAACATACAAGACACATCAGAAGGTAAAATCAGTTACAAAACTCAAAACACCAACTCCCCAAATGATCCAACTGAAAAGTCAATCACCCAGCAATGATGTGATTTTCTAATTCTGAACAGGATAGGCAAATGCCACTGTATTATGCCAAAGGAAGCAGCAACCATGTGTTTTAAAAAACAAATTCACTTGACAAAAAACTTCAGAAAAAACGTTGATAAGAATTTCAATTTACCAAGAAAAGAGAAAAATTGTTCATGCATGGCATCAACTTTCCTTTCTTTTTGTCTCTTCAAGTTTTCACAATTTGTCAAACCCACAAAGTTTTCCAACTACATTTTATTTTTGAAAGAAGGTTTTCCAGCTACTTTACAGCATAAAAAGGTGAAATAGAGGGTCTTAAGGCATGCTTGTAATTTAGATAAGATTTTTGGGTGCCGCACATACTCTAATGGAAATGCTTAACTACTGTCCAAGTGGGTTAATGATGTTTAATTAGATTTGATAAAATCTGTAATCCTCTGGTAGTTAAGAGTTTAGACAGATACATCCTTGGACACCTCCTAGAAGAGCATGGTTTTTCAGTAGGTATCAATCTTTCAATAAGTCTTCATAGGTCAAAACAATTTACAGAATGGAATTAATTGCTTTAGACATCATTTAGATGATGTAGTTCAAATAGAGATGATATGAAATGGTGATCATTCACAACTTCTGCAATTGGCATGATTTGGGCTAATATGGTTCAATGCTTTAGACTGTAATATGGCCGTACTTAAGTTTTACTGTTTTAGTTTCTTTAATAGGATCCATTCGATAACATCCCAAATCCATGCATCTTGTATAAGAACCATGAAGGAACTGAGTTTCATATCAAGAGGGTAGTTATCAACTTCTCGTTGACAATACCCCTCCATGCTGTTTGGAAAAGTTCACTCAAAGCAGTTGGATATCGGGCATACTACTCCCAAATACTTTGTTTTTAGTTGGCAAGAAGAATCTTTCTTAAGTATATGCCGTTCACTAAAGTATCAGATAGTATATAATATCCACTAAGGCTCTATTCACCTCACCTTATTTTCACTTATTTCATGTTTAATAAGTACAAATAAGATAGAATAAGAGCTAAAAAGATCATACTCGTATAATATAATACAAGGGTTAGTAAATTGAGATAATATAAGTTCATGTAAGGGTTGATAAGTTCAAATAAGATACGAATAAGAGCTAAAAAGATCATACTCGTATAATATATTACAAAAATTAATAAATAGATTGAGATGAAATAAGTACATGTAAGGGTAATAAGGTCTAATAAGGCCCAATAAGATAAGATTATATAAGGGTCAAAAAGTTCAAGACTAATAAGATAAGGATGAAATTCAGGTGAAGAGAACACCTAAAGCTTCATTTTAGTACTCCGTTTTTTCCACCATTGACAAGCTATCATCTAGTAGGTTGATTCATAGGTTTATTAGGTTCCAAGCAGGATGATTCGAGGGAACAAATTGAGTGCCATAATTTAAACCAACCCTAAAAAGGTATTTTCCCTCCGTCTGGACATGGTAGTGTATTTTGAACCAGCAATATGGCAACCGATTCCGGAAAGAAATAGGATATATATATATATATATATATATATATATATATATATATATATATATATATATATATATATAAAGCCTAATTACCCTCCTTATAAAATCTACATAGCTTAATCTGCTGGAACTGATGATAAAGTTCTTACTAATTTGCTACTAAGTTATAAACCAACATATGAAAATGTAAAATATACCTTAGACAAAAATGGCTCAAGAGTGGTCACAACATTCACCAGCGATGGGTCTAAACCAATTTCCTCCTTTGCCTCCCTTGTTGCAGTATCCCTATCATCCTTGTCACCCTCCTCAGCTTTTCCTCCAGGCAATGCCACTTCCCCTGAGATCAAAGACCACTTAAAATTCCACATAAAATCTCAACCCCTCGTAACCAAAAATAACAATTTGACACATTCAACAATCTACTTTAATCACACTCCTTTTTCATCAATACATGATTCAAGCCAGCAACCACCACAATAAACAGATACTTAATTTACAAGGTTCAACATAAACATATTCAAATTCATCACCCAAAGCTTTATACTTGAAACAGAAAAACAACACATTTGCTACATTAAACAATCCATACTTAAAAACCACTCAATTAAACATCATTATGAACATTAATCAACTTAAACTTTATTTATCAAGTAATCAAAAAAACAAATTTGACACAAATAACAATCATAATTCCAAAACTTCTACCTTAAATACAACCATATAACATAAAACAGGTCATTAACCAAATGATAGTTTCTAGAATTTAAATATAATAATAAACATGATAAACGTTATAAACGAGGTTAAAACTAGTCATACTAATATGGACTTAATCATATTAATTTTGAAAACCGACAATAAAAAACCAAGTCAACATAATAGAAGGGATCACAAACCAGAGTGAGTGGAAAGGCGAGAAGATCGTTTAGTAAGAATAACACGAAGATCCCCATCAATCCCTTCAAAAAGACAAACAAGAACAGCAGCTCTTTTAGGCTTAAATCTTTCTCCATCATCTTCCTTAAATTCTCTGACCTTCTCCAAATCCTGACCAATTGGGTTGGTAGATTGAGCAAATCCAACTTGTGCTACAACCTTGCCACTCACTTCTTCGATGTCCGCGGCATCGTCGTCATCGATTGGTGACGGGGGTTTGTAGAGGCGGAGCTGCTGTGCTAAGGCGGAGAGTCTTAGAGAAGATGAAATGGGGGAGTGGGAATCCATTAAGAGAGAGAAAGTTGATGATGGATTTTGTTTAATGGGTATTGGTATAAATGGTATTGGTATGTGTAGGTTGAATTGTGAGGGTAGTTTTCGAAGAATTGATGATAGCATGAGTTGGGTTAAGAGATGAACATGGAGAAATTGATTATGCTTTATTTTAATGGTGGTTGATTGATTTGTTTATCTACTCTTTTTTTAGCAAGAAAGCTTGGAAATTTAAATTCAAGTGGTTGATAGTTTTGACATTTGCTGAGTTTTCTCATTTTCTGTGTTTAATTCCTTGAATTTGGTTAGTCTACTATGTACACTAATCAGTGTAATCACTATTATGCCAATTGTTGATGCTAGTTACCGGAAAAGTTTATTTTGGTTGACGATTGGTATACTTTATTCACGTGAAATTTAATTAGGATCTTGCTAACGAATACCTGGGCGCTAGATAAATATTATTACAAACTTACGCATCGATCAATGTAATTAATATTCATTTTAATTTGGGAATGTATTAATTTTGGAATGTATGACAAAATCACGCGTCGATCGATGTAATTAATATTCTTTTTAATTTAATATTTATACTTTTAGTTATCTTATCCAACGCCTCGCAGAGTTCGGTAGTTTTTGCCTTTTAATTATTTTTATTTTTATTCAAATGAAGTTTTAAGAATAATTAATCTTATTTTAGTTGTAAATTGAATTTGATTTGTCGTTTTTAATCCTTAATTGAAACTATCTTCTACTTCGTATAATCTTATAAGCACTTATCTAAACAAAGAAGTGGAAATAATGTGAACTAAGGTCCGTCTCTCTCCACCTTAAAACAATTATACGGAGTATTCAATAATAATAAGTGTAAAATAGTAAAGATCAGTAACTTTAAGAGCAATATTATAGAGAATCAATAAAATTAAAAATTTAATTAGTAAAATTAATTTCAATTAATTAAAAATAAGGTGAAAAAAGGGTCTAACTAATTTAATTTCCTCAACTTAAATTATTAGAAATAATGCAAAATAATTTGCAAAGAAAATTACTCTAGTTAACCAAAAGTTCAACAAAAAGGCTTAAGTTTAGTCCAAGTGTTTTTTTTTTTTTTTCTTTTTTTTTTGGCATAAACAAATAAAGTTAAGCAAATTAAATATTATGTTGGGGAGAACATTGCCAAAGGTAAAAAAAAAAAAAAAAAAAAAAAAAATAGGAAAAAACAAAAAAACACACACACGCATAAGAGTATATATTTTTCATCTTAAAAAATCAAACTTGAAAGTAAGGTGAAAATTACGACTAATCAGGTTAAATAAGTTTAGGGAATAGAGCGCACTAAATCTATATCATTTCTATAGAGGAGATACTCAAAACTCAAAAGAGAAAAAAAAAATGTTCACCATAACTTTCGGACAAGAAGTGTGAGAATTGAGATATATGAAAGATAATTGCAATATACAAGTACAAGGATTCATTTTAATTACTAATTAAATAGAATAGTAAGGCATAAAAATATAAGTACTTATTATGAAAAAAATTATATCATACTATTGTTATTAGTATAGAATCAAAAAAGAATTGAATAAATCATCAAACTAAATTACTAGAATGATGTTTATTTTTTAGCAGAAAATACAAGTTTATCATAGTGATTTTGTTTATTAAATGGCATCTAAGTAAATAAATAACAAATTTTCATTAAATGCGGACCTCACATAGGGATGACAATATTAGATGGATACCTGTTAATCTGATCCACCCGCTTAAAATAAATGAATGAAAACTCAAAATAAATGGATGAAAAGCGGGTGACGGATGAGGTGGATGATGGATCAGATCGAATGTGGATGATGATTTTTTCACCCGCTAACCATCCACCTACCCGTTTAACATATATAAAGATTTTTAATCTAAGAATTTTAATTAAAAAAATTTAAAATATACAATAAAAATACTTTATTTGTTGCAAATTAATTTTTTCAAAGAATATGTAGTTTGTGCATCCTTTTTATTTAAAATATAATAATAACTTATGGTAGAAATAACCATAAATTAAATTTTATGTGAACTTTTTTTTTCCTATAATGTTTATCTATTAGTCACCCGATCCACCCGTTTCACCCACAGATGATGGGTGGACGAATACGGATGATGGGTGAAGCGGGTGATGGATGGATGTGGATGCGGGTGAAACTCCACCCAATCCGAATCCGATCCATTGCATCTCTAACCCCACATATTAACTTGATGAAATTATTAATTTGTTTACGAAAAAATCACTTGATAAATGGGGACAAGCTCTATTTTTTGCGACCTCTTTAGCCTTTACCTCCTTAAGACTCAATGGATAAAAAAAAATCCTTGTCACGTTATATACTAGTCACTTTGTTTACTTTTCTGTGGCATGCAGCACCAATTATTGGGCCAAATTAAATATGAGTAGATGCAAACAGCCAAAATAGGTAATAACATGTAATATGAAACAAGTTGTATACTAAAGTTACTAACAAAGTATTTGGATTAGATGGTAAGGAAGTTGTTTCACCTTAATTATAATATTGGGTATAAAAATTTGATAACACACTAATTATAGAGTGTGATCGGCCTGAATTCGAATTAGTGAGAGTCTAGTATGCTCTGAACTATCAGATATACTTGTAATTTTGTCACATGGAATGGCTAACAAATTTTCCATATATTATGTGGAAAGTGTGCACATAACAATATAAATTCTGATGGATCTTTAATCACTTTTAAATTACAAGTAAGAAAAGAGAGTATTGACTAATGATGAAGGCTTGGAAATTGGTCATCATCATGCATTAAATAGCAAACAAAACTAGAGCAAACATCAACATTAGTAATTGGACATTGGACGAAGGTAACATGCGGGAGGATCATAACCCCACAGAAACGTACAACTTAATCATTTAAGCTAAAATTGTAACTTTGGTCCTCCCTACATTACCATAATTATTTATAACCACGTACGAGACCTTGATAACCGATGGCTCGAATGAAGAAGCTCGTTTGCTTGATCAATGCTTCTGGACTCAGCCGCGGTCAAGCATAAGCATTGCTTCAGCAGCAGCTATGCTGCTATCAGTGTATGTATGTGCATGACATTAATTAGTGAACCTTGTGAGTGTTGTGACTTACATTATGCACACATTTGAAATTGGAACAGGCCTGATAATCTACTACAGTAAATTAAAGTGAGCAACGAAAAAATGTCTGTATAAAAAGAAGGGCATGCCCTGATAAACAGCAACACAGGCAACACCATCACCTTCCTTCAGTATTGAAATACAGCAGTATGATCTTCCAGCTGTAGAAAGTCCCTGCAACCGACAAGCGTGCTGTACCGAGCACCCTTCGTCCTAAGCCAATAGCAAAGGACATTCACATGGTGCTATGGTGGATGTCACTCTCATATGTACCTAGGAATCTCCCTTTAATGACATCAAATTTGCTCCACTGCTTATAACTGAAAGTTAAAGCATAGCAGTGAACTTTTAGCTTTTTTTATCTTGTTGGGGTTGTGTGTTGGTGATGGACCCGACAAAATTGACTCACATTCGATTGTCTTATATGAACTACCCTAACTATACCCAAAATTTAACCTGAATAACATTTGAATAATTTACCATATAAAAAGAAATTGAAAATTGACATAACTATGATCCAACCCAAACCATGCCCTACCTGGCCTAAAATTGAGCTGAATGATTCAACGCTCAAATATGATAAGAACCAAATTAGCCCGAAATGAGTCCTATTCTGACTACTCATATGCCCATCCCTAGTTGTTGAGGGAATGCAAAAGGGTAAAAAAAGTACTAATAGTAAAAATAACAGAATGCGGTAATCACTTATCACTAATCAGAATCAGAACTGTCATTTCAGTCAGACCCAAAAAGGAATTCTGCCAATCAACCTCCACAACAGAAAGTTTATATCATCAGTATATTAAAATCTTCAATATGCCAAGCCCATGTCACATGAATAATGCTTCATGTTGAAGATTGCTTAAAAATTGACTACTCCTAGAAGGGTACAAGGTACTAGACTACTAGTTACTGAACTTTGCCTTTTAATGCTGTCGAATTAAACTGTTTTCTGTCAGATATTTTAGATGAAATTGTCTTGTCAACTAACCACAAGTTCCCCCTAGCTCAACCATTATGTGGTAATAAGAGATTTTATTCAACTATCTTCGTTTTCTTTTGTTTTCGTTGTATATTTTTTCAAGAAGCATCTCGCTTATCCCTCTTGAATTCCGTCTTGTCACAGCCTACACAAGCCAAGATATCTAAAAAATTGTGTTCAAGTTCTTTCCTAGATTTTGCTTTGGTTAAGATTAATAGGAATGCTGAGTATTTTGTTAAGCCATCCACACATTGACACGAGTACTACTTCAGCATGGAATGAAGAGTCTAGGTATCGTCTGTAGTTTAAAGCTTTAGCGTAGAAGCTAGATTGAGAAAACAGTAAGTCAGTAAGATAGAAATGATGAATTATGTGAAGTACCAGTAACATCTATTTTAGAGAATCGGGAACATATACAAGTACATATATGTGTATATGAGATTGAAGCTGATGAGTGATAAACGCACAATGAGAACATCAGCAAGAAAAGGTCGCAGCAACAAAATCTACACAGCCAGAGGTCCGAGAGATAGAAGGATTCGGTTGTCAGCAGACATTGCTATTCAATTTTATGATGTCCAAGATCGACTTGGCTATGATCGTGCTACCGAAGCAGTTGATTGGCTCATCAGTAAGGCAAAAGGTTCAATTGATAAGCTATTTGACAACTCTTTCCAACAACAGTCTAAGCACCTCACTCACTTAGATGCTCAAAACAGTTTTTACCAGAGTGATTATTATCTTACAGAAAGTATGTCAGGTAGCGAAGATTCCGGTGTCCAGGTTGATTCTCTAACAGACTATGGAGTGCTCAATCTCCACAACTCGTACGACAACATATCAACATACAATTGTACAATGGATAGCTCCATGATCTTGCCTTGCATTCAAATGGAAAACAGCTCAGAAGATCAATGCTTTGCTCATTCAACTATCTCAAGCCCTTTAGACCTACAGCATAGCAGTCTGCCTTCTATTCAGCAGATGGAGAATAAGGACCAGAATCCAAGAACGGTCATGTTCAACTCCAAATTTTCTTCAAAATATGGTGAGCATCCATTTATATCAAACTCTGGACCATTATTTTTTCAAGCTCCAAATAACGAATCACCTCCGATTCACACACCTATAAGTGATCCAGAACTCAATCTTTGTCTTCCTGGCAACTACACATCAACCTTCGGTGATTCTGAAAAGTGGTCTATTTTCTAATGAAGAGCTGTAATAGTTAACTAAAACGGATATTACAACCTGAGTTATGCATTTAGCCGAAAGCCAATCAAATTTATGAATACTGCTCTTTTTTCTGCTCTGATTGTTTAGGTTTTGGGTGAGTTTAATGGTGTGTTTGGAATGAAGAAAATGGAGAGAAAGGAAGGGAAGAGAAATGGAGAGATGGGGTATCTTTCATTTGGATAACAAATAAGGAAGGAAGGGAATTGGAGGGGAGAGAAATGGAGGGATTAAATTGTAGGAAATTGATCCCTCCAACAATGGGGAGATTTGGAAGGAAAACTCACCATTCTTCTCTGCCCTCCCTTTCCCTTCCCTCCTCTTCTCCTCCCTCCCCTTCTTTTCCTTCCCCTTTCTTTATCCAAACACACTGTAAATGTTTTAATTACAGATTTATATTACTAAACATTCTTTTCGCGCAAAAAAAAAAAAAAAAAAAAAAAAAAGGGTTACAAACACAAATAGTCAAAATCATCAGTAATTAAGGGATGATACATGAATTAATGAATCATATTCCGGAACTTAAATCAACTTGACAATAGTTGATAGCAAAGGGATCAGTAACAGAACTAGAGTACACATTTTTCAGCAATAATTTTAACAGTGCATAGATAATTTTCCAATGGTTCAACATCTTTCACATTTCAATATCATCAGGATCACGGAGAGGAAAGCGAAGAATTGCTGCAATGCCAGTCAGCTGTGCCAATTGCTCCCCTGAGACATGCATGGACGAGAATATATGAACACTTCCTCCAGAGTGTTTAATTGAATCGACCAAGTTAATGTATTTTTTTCGTGTTGCAATGTCAGCATTCCTGAACTGCTCATCTGTAATAAGAAGTGTTTGAATAGCCATCGATCATGAGCAACTTCTACATGCTTAGGACCATAGCATGCACGATCCGGATCATTTGATAGCATACTAAAAAAGTCCTCTTGGGCAGCTTTTGTATCCTTAATCATATTCATTATATTTGGTGCATCCAAAACCTCCTTTAAGCTATGCTTGTATCCTGAAGTCGTTTGCACGAGAACTATGCGTGACTTGTTCTCTATTATAGATCTCATCTGTTTTCTTTCCGCTTCCAGCAACAAATGACGATAAAACTGGTCTTTAGTGAATCCAGGGCTTGCAATAACAGTACATCGGACAACCTTAAAATCAACATGTTTCAAGAAAGCCTTTAAAACATTCTCAAAAAACATATTCAAGGCAGATTCAAATCCTGCAATATTAGGTCCATGTTTACGAGGAATCGAGACCTCTACTCGAGCACACAAAAGGGTTACACTTTTACCAACCAAAAGCACATGTGCCAATCCCTCCTGCAGTAACACCACAGCCAGATCAGCTTTCGCAGCAGGATCTGCAGTTTGGTTAAGCATATCCAAAACCAAGGAGTCCCAGTCATTCTTCCTCAGCACAAAAGGTCGTTGCAGCTCGAGTTCCATCGTATGGAATGCACCTATCTTTACATACTCGTTTTCCAAAGTGTTTTTGCCTCGAATACGTAAGGTAGAACCTTCTTTATCATATTTCACAGCCTCCACATTGATTTCTAACCTAAGTTTCATTCGTTCTGCATCCATCCCTCTAGAAGCCGTCTCTCACATTACTTTCCTAACAGTAACGCCTAGAACATGATCACCTTCAGCAATCAAATTGTATACAACCCACAGATCTTCTGCTTCTTCTGGAATCATCTTTACGCTGCCAGGGCCGCCACGAAGCAGATCCTTATGGACGATCTTCATCGTGATGTTTTGAAGGAAAAATGTTCTCACACCTGTTGATGAATCAGTGTTGTTTTGAACATAACATAAGTATTTGTAGGCTACAATATCTTGGACCGCAAGGAAAGTAGATTACCCTAACTACTTTTCAAATTAATTTCCCAAAAAAAAAAAAAAAACTTTCCTAATTATAGTAGATATCTAACATAAAATATACCCTAAAAATACATAGAAGTTCTTACGCTCATCTGAATAATGCTTATCTTGTAAAAAATTATCTTCTATTTTGATTTAAGACTACACCCTACTTTATAAATAAGGCAGGTAATTGCTACAGAACTTCGTATTATTTTTGGGAAGCATTGGATTATTGATTTTTTTATTTTTTTTTTTATTTTTAATTTTTTTTTTTATATATATCAACTCCATATAGTATTATTTTTAATTTTAAAAACAATGACAAAAGGCTAAGGTAACCCAGAAGAAAAAAGTTTGACTCAGAGCATACTCTGTAGAAGAGTAACATATTAAAAAGACCATCCTATTGAGAAAAACAATAACAGTGTCAATAAAGAACATATCAAAAAAAATATTCTAATTCATTCATACAGTAGATACATTTGCACCCCACGCAATCGCTCGTTGTTTGAGATGATTTATCAGTTTTCAAAATGTTTCTCCGATTCTGTAAATTACTGCATTCGCTAGGTAGACAACAACCACACTTCTTGGATTGATCATGGCCGATCAAGCTTCAACTTCCGGAATGTGATCAGCTTTGTTAACAAGGAATCAGAAGTGTAAGAAAGAGGGTTGGATTATGCAAGTATATTAGGATTGATCTTTGCTACTGCTGTTGGGTCACATACATACTCCTAAATAATTTGGCCTAGGTAATTTAACTACGAGTATTATCATAAAAATTAAAATAATTAATAATCATGAAAGATCTGAATTTTCTTAGCAACATATTTCCAAATGATTGGCTCATGGAATTATAAAACATATTAAAAAGAGTTAAATCCTTATTATCAAAACCGAAAAATACTGCTTTAGACAGCATATATGCATTGAAAGAGAAGAAAAGGAATATTAAAGAGAAGAAAGAAAGATCATTGCTAGTAAGAAAATTAAGTGAACAGCATCTAAAACTAAGGTAGAGTTCTCTAAATTCCTTGGCATGAGTCTGTTTCAATGCAATATACACTTGCACTTAAAGAACCATTCAAGAAGCAAAGATTAACATAGGAGTTATCTTCAAGCAGTATGACAGTATTCATTTACAAGGCAGAACAATATATTGATCCTCAGAATCTCATACAAAGTATATTCATAAAGTAACTCATAATCCTAGATTTCCGAATGTGTTTCAATCAACAATATTACAGTATTGGATATTTCACTCAGGTCAGAAATCGTGTGCACTAGGAAAGAAGCATAATTTACTAGCCGAAGACAAAATTTAAGGACATAGGGTAATGGCAGAAAGATGATATGCATTGTTCAGCTAAATACTTCATAGAACTTCTCAATAACAAGTAAACCAGAATCAATAGACTCCAAAGGATCCTTCCTTAGCCGATGTCTTAGGCAATTGGGAATAACAGTAGCGATATCCTCAGGAGTCACCTTATCTCTACCCTTAAGAGAAGCCAAAGCCTTTGCTGCTCTATTTGTAACAATGTCACCTCTCAAACCATCAACATTCAATTCAGAACACACTTTAGAGATTTTTACGCGGAGATCATGATCAATTTGAACAGAAGAAAGGTTGCTCCTTGCAGATGTAATCTGGTCCGTTAGCTTATCTTGATCTTCCTTGTAAGACTCTCGGAACTCTTTAGGATTCTTATCAAAGCGAGCCCTCTCCTCAACAATCTTTACCCTAAGCTCAGCATCTCTTACAGTTCCAACTTGAGCATGCATCCCAAAACGGTCAAGTAATTGAGGTCTAAGCTCTCCTTCCTCGGGATTTCCTGAACCAATCAAGATAAACCGAGCAGGATGTGAAATGGAAATTCCCTCTCTTTCCACAGTGTTCCACCCTGAAGCAGCAGAATCCAACAGAACATCCACCAAGTGGTCATCCAAAAGATTAACCTCGTCAACATATAGTATTCCTCTATTAGCCTTAGCAAGAAGTCCCGGCTCAAACGCTTTAATTCCCTCAGTTAAAGCCTTCTCGATGTCAATGGTCCCACAAACCCTGTCTTCAGTAGCACCTAGAGGCAAATCAACCATATTAATTTTAGTCAACATAACAGCAAGGTCTTCCCCTTTTAGGGCCTTTTCTCTTACTTCTACGCCCATCAACTCGGGATCTTCAGGGTCAGAATTAAACGGATCTCCTGAAACAACCTTAATTTCTGGGAGCAAATCCACCAACGACCTAACAGTAGTGGATTTCCCTGTACCCCTATCACCCATGATCATCACCCCACCAATCTTAGGGTCTATAACATTTAACAAAAGACAAAGTTTCATCTCATCTTGCCCGACTATAGCAGCAAACGGATAAACTGGCCTTTGGCTTTCTGTTGCAACCCTTGGAGCCTAAATAATAAACAATTTTAGAAATTTGACTGAAAATTTTCTTATCACAACCAACAAGAAACTTCAATTTCTAACATATAATTAATCAAACTGCCTATCCCTAAATATATTAAACAACATAAACACTCTCTATCAATCAATTCAACAAATTCCCATTCAATTCAACATTGAAGGATTATAAATGGTCTATGAACATGATCCAAGCATTCTATCACACTTCCAGTGGAAATGTGCAATACTAAACATATGCTATAACACCAAACGGCCCGTGATTATTTCGTAAATTCCAAATTTAATACAAAGTACCTTGAATACATAACTCATATAGCTTATGAAAAACATTAAAACAGTACCCTAATACTGGTATATTTATGTGGTAATATAAAATCAAACCATCAAATTCAAATTTAAATTCCGGTGTGGTAACCAAAACCTGGGGTTGAATCTCTCAACTACATTATTGCCTGTCATAGTTTCCCATACACCACAAAAATCAAATTTTCAAGCTAATTTATACCCAATACTAATGATTAATTCCTTCAATTTTTCCATAACACAAAAATCACATTCAATAGCACCAATATTGAAAATTAAAATCACATTTAATAGCGCAACATAAGAATCAAACCTGTACAGTAGAATTAATTTCAGTGGCAACATTGGAAACTGAAAATTGAAGCTGAGACCTATTCTTTTTCACAGGAATCCCAATTCCACCATAGAATTTTCTCCAATTAAATTGCCCAGAAACAACTGCAAAAACAAAAATTCCAGCATTAACAAAGAAAACCCATTTCAATTCTTACCAAATAAAGCAAATTAAGACACAAAATTTCATATTAGAAGGAGAGAGAAAATACCAGGGGTAGAAGAAATGGTGGAAGAAGAG